AATAAACACGTTGCAGCAAAAATCCACCTTTGTTGTCCTCCTTGGGTGCACAGGGGGTGGGATCCCTGCGCAGTCTGCAGCCCCTTGCTGTGGGGCATGTGTGGATGCTGTAGGTGATTTGGGAAAGCCTGGCTCAGGGCAGGTAGGGGTTTGTCTGGGGCACCCCACTTTCCCAGGGGCTATCTGCATGTGTTGCCTGGGGCTACCTTCTGGGAGCCTTCCTTCTCCTTCCCCTTCAGCCTCTTCTCCTCCTTCTCCTTGTCCCCAGACTACTCCCCACTGCCTTATTCCTTCTTTTCCTTCTAGCTGATGAAGCTGGAGCTGCTGGAGCTGCTGCTGTCCTCACTGACAGACTCAGGCTCTGAAAGGGGCCATGGCTCAGCTCTGCTGCCGCATCCCCCATGGCCCCACTGCTTCCTGCTATGTCCCCACACTCAGTGTTGCCTTCCCACTGCACCCTGCTGCCCCCCTGGATCCTTTCACGGCATGCCCTTCCCTGCGTCTGAGCTATCCCTCCATGTCCCCACCATGATGGAGCGTCCCCTGCCCTGCCAGTTACCAAAAGTCTTTAGGGCCAAAGGCCTTCACATCTACTTTGCAGAAGAAGCTGGGGCTCTGCTGAAGTTGTTGAGGGCAATGATGCTGTCCTGTGCCATGCCATATGGCTGGTTGATGGGGCAGGGGCAGTGGGGGCCTTATAGGGAGGGTTTAGGGGGGTGAGTGAGAGTTGGGGTGCAGGGGCACCCTGGCTGTCCTGTGCCCTTGTGGGGAGACAGGACTTGGGGCTCTTTCCTCCTGCTCCCCACCCTTCCATCTACATCTGCCCCAGGGCGCTGTCCCCTCATCCTCTGAGGCTGTGATGCTCGCAGGGGCTCAGCACCCCTCTCGGGCGCTGTGTTCGGAGCTCTGTGTCCTGCACCGCTGTCCATGCGCCTCAGCCGCTCCCCGGAGCCCCTTCCTCGCCTTCCGCCGGCGCTGGCTCCGGGCGCTAGGACCCGGGGGGGGCGCGCACAGACCAGAGCCCCGCCCACCGTCAGCCGAGCCCACTGGAGCCCCGCCCCTCGCAGGGGCCTCCGAGCCGCATGGGGGCGCTGTGAGCTCCCGGCGGCCCCGTGTGCTCCCGTCAGGCTTTGCTCTCTTTCCGCGGCCGCCGCCGACATGGTGAGTGCGGGCTGCGGCCGCCGCCATCCGCAGCCATCCGCAGCCATCCGCAGCCCGGGCCGCTCCGCCCGCGGTTCCGAGCGGCTGCGGGGAGCGGGCCGAGGGGCTGCGGGCTGCGGCGGCGGGCGGAGAGCGGGGATGGGCCCCGGGAGGGAGCGCAGGGCCGGGGCGTTGCTGAGGGGCTGCGGGCCGGGGGGAGCCGCGGGGTTCGGCGGCGCCTGAGCGGTGTTGGCTTACCCCCCCTGCCGCCCAGGGACGCGTCCGGACGAAGACGGTGAAGAAGGCGGCGCGGGTGATCATCGAGAAGTACTACACGCGGCTGGGGAACGACTTTCACACCAACAAGCGCGTGTGTGAGGAGATCGCCATCATCCCCAGCAAGAAGCTGCGCAACAAGATCGCGGGGTGAGGCGGACGGGCGCGCGGGCGGACTCGGCACCTGCATCGAAAGTGACCGCGGCCTCCCCGTGGCCCGGCCATCGATAGTGCAGGGAGAGCAACGGCGGCGGCTCCCCCGTGTCTGCGGGGCCGCGTCCCCGCAGGCCCTGTTGCTGCCGGACACGGCCCTGCCCCTCACTGCCCTCCGCTGGCGGGGAGCGTCGGGGGCGAGCACGGCTCAGCCCTGCCCTGCCCGGGGTTTGGGAACGTGATGTCCCGTGTGTGCCCCACAGGTATGTCACCCACCTCATGAAGCGCATCCAGAGGGGACCCGTCCGGGGCATCTCCATCAAACTGCAGGAGGAGGAGAGGGAGAGGAGGGACAACTACGTCCCCGAGGTGAGGCGCCGGCTGCGGTGGTGTCTCATCAGCCCACCCTGAGGGGTCCCTGTTGTTCTGAAACACAGCTCCGGCCGGGCTGGGCTGAGGAGGGTTGGGGTCAGGAAGGGCCGAGGCAGATCTTGGCCTCGTATCGGGTGCTCCCTCCAGAGCTGCTGCCCGGGCTGGGGAGGGCAGTGACGTTCCTGCGTTGTGACTCTTGTCACTGGTCAGCAGGTGATGGTCAGCAAGCGGTCCTCAGCTTTACTAACTTAATATGAGGAAAAAATCACTTGTGGGGATGTGGGAGGATGTGTCAGGGTGGCTTAAACCTGCTACAGCAGATGTGGTTGCAAAGAGGGGATGGGTGAAACCTGCACTCAGGAGGGTCAGGATCTGCCCATGAGCCCGTTGCTGATGGTGTTGGGAGAGGAGCTCCAAAAGCGTTTCCCTGTTCAATGGGTTCAGTCCCATTGCACCCAAACCCTTCAGCCGTGGCACAGAGCCCCTCTTCCAGCCCTCCCTGATCAGCTTCCAGTGGAGCTGCTGGGTTCTGTGCTGCCCCAAACACTCAGTCCTGTCACCTCAGCGCTCCCAAACTGCCAGTGCTGGGCTCTGCTCATGTGGAAGGCTGTTTTCAGTGAGGGCCTGGGAGGAAGAGGGATGATGGTGGGGTGTCACGGCAGTGTGGTGCTGCCTCCCCCTTGGAGAGCTGCTCCAGGAGCACCCTCCCTGCCTTGCTGGCCAGCGGGAGGCAACACTGCTGAACAAGAGACTGGGGCCTGGTTGACTCCCAGGGGCTATAAACAGTGTGTGGGACAGTCAGCACCTGCACATCCCCTCCCAGCTGCTCCAGCACCCCCGGTTTTAGGTGTCAGCACAGTGCTGAGCTGCCCGGCTGCTGGTGGGGGCCTGGAGATCCAGCTGAGGGCAGGGTTTTACACAGAGACCTTCCAGCTAACTGTGGGGGGCAGGACAGGATGGTGCTGGTGGGAGAGGCCTCCGCTGGCAGGACCCCAGGCAGGGTCCATGCTGTAGCTGGTGATGCAGATGAACCTGTGTTGTTTGTGGTTCCTTAGAGAAACGTTGCTGTGATGCAGCCTTTTGGGGAAGGAAGCACGTGGAGGTGGTTTTGGGGGTGAGAGGGCTGCAGGAGGTTGCTCTGGGATTAAAGAGCAGGAGACCTCAGGTCCTTTGGGTGGGACAGCCGCGATGCTCACTCCCTGTAGCTGTTTGGCACTGTCGGGGTCTGCCTCCAGCCCGACTTCGTGTTGCAGGATGAGTGCAAGTGTCAGCGGTGACCACCGGGACCGGTGCAGTTGTGGAGCTGACCCTGGCCCCGCAGTGTTGGTGTGGAGCCGGCTGGGCCTTGGCCTGCCAAGGAAGAGCTGTAAAAGAGGCTCTTCCCCTGCGCAGGGAGCTCTGCGGCTGGGTGGCCTCTCGGTGTTTTGGAAGGAGAGCTGACTACATGGGGTTCTTACCCATGACAGGCAGCGAGATCTTTGCTGTGGTGGGACAAGGATCAGGGTGGGGGTGTGGGGACACCCCGGTGGCAACAGGGATGTGGCTGTGGGGCCTCATCACACTGCATCTGTGTCTCCTCTGTCCCCAGGTCTCTGCCCTCGACCAGGAAATCATTGAAGTGGACCCAGACACCAAGGAAATGCTGAAGCTCCTGGTGAGTGGTTCCCCTGCCCTGGGACATGCAGGCGAGCAGGCTGTGGGATGGTGGCTTTTCCAGGCCCCTGCCAGCAAGGGTGGGTGTGCTCCTTCCCTTCGCTCCTCCCACAGCACCCAGGGGTGCTGACCCAGCGGCCTCCTCCTCTGCTCTTGCTGGGTGAAGGTGAGCATGGGTGAAAGGACCAGCTTCCCTTCACCTGTGAGCTGATTTCCAGGGTGGTGGTGGTCACCTCCTCTTCTTCTGGGGGCATGAATCCACCCTTTGTGCTCCCACAGCACATTCACACTTTGCGCTCTTGCTGTGGGGTTGGACTCGGATGATGACAGGGCCGTGTCACTGATCCCAGTCCCTGTTTTCCAGGACTTTGGCAGCCTGTCCAACCTGCAGGTGACGCAGCCCACGGTGGGGATGAACTTCAAAACGCCCCGAGGAGCGCTCTGAGTTGGTCCCTGTGTGTCACTTTTCCAATAAACGTGGGAAAACCACCCTGCCCGCTCTCTGGAAGCCTGCGCTCCCCGGGATGTGGAGGGAGGGCTGGCTCCTCAGGATGCAGCGTCTCAAATATGGGTGTCTGGATGAGCAGGACTCAACACCTTTGTGTTTGCCAGCACCTTTCTGGGTTCTTAGCTGTTTGAGGTGCAGTTCTTCTTTTACCGGCTCTCCTGCTCTTGGGGAGAGGACAACCCTGGTGGCTCCTCAAGGGCTCCCCAGAGCTCCTCACCCTCCGTGCCCCAGGGTTTGTCTGTGCTGCCTGGAGCGGACACGATGCCGTGCTGCGCCAGAATTGCTTTTCACAACTCACAAACCATGCTGTGTGCTTTTCAGTGCTTCAATGAAAGGAAAAAGTCTTGTGGGATCTTTGTGTGAGGGGAGTGAGCTGGGCTGAGCAGAGCACTGTGGCCAGGGTGGCAGCTCCCGTGTGGGCCCTGCTGAGGCTTGTGTTGTCCTTCCCTTGGCAAGATGCTCCATCCAGCAATTCGCCAGGGTACAAGAGGCATGGAAGAGTTTGGGGTTTCACACACACACCCCCAAAATCACCACTTTGCGAGGCTCTGCTTTGAGACCTACAGGTCTCTAGCACCAGGACTGTGGGCATGGTGGGTGCAACAAGGCAAGCTCCTGTTGCAGTGAAGGTGTGTTTGCAGCCATGTCTTAACCCCCTCCCCCCCGCGGGGTACATATAAAAAGACAAAAGGGGTTGTGTTTGGGGGGGGAATGCCTGTATTTAAGTTTGCTGTGCAATCTGTCTTAAACAGTTATTTAAAGAGGAGAACCTGTTGCCAGTAACTGAAGCTGGGTACTGACACACCCCGCATGTGGGGCTGCAGGCAGGGTAAGCCAAGCAGGGTCATTGATAAACCCCCCCGCCTGGTGTGGAGTTTGAACTCAGAATTTGCGGTTGGACAGTTCAGAACCACCAGACACAGAACAGACTGACAGGTGAAATAACCATTAATCCACAGGAGGGAGTGAGCAAGGAGGCATCCCTGCAGTTTAACCATGGGAATGACATTCCAAACATAACTGGTACCTCTGGCAGCTCTTACTGGAGTTCTTGACATGAACAGCCACCTGTGACTTAGAGTTTCCTCTTCATTCGGGTCTTCATGTCACCAGAAAGGTTGATCTTTTGTTTAACCCAATACGCCTTGTAGCCCGAGGTGCCGGGAATGAAATCGTGGATCTCCCCAACGTACTTCCTCATGTCCCGAGCAGCGGCGTAGCCTGCAAAGGGAGCTCCATGGAGGAGGTGCTGATGGAGAGGAATTACTGGGAGAGCCGCCCCCCTCCCCAAGGAAATGGGAAGGGAGCGGAGCTACCGGCACCCTCAGCAGTTCTGCTACTGTCAGTACTGGGCACACGGGGTCCCTGCTTCATCCACAACCATTTTCAGGGATATTCCTAGTTTTCAGGGATATTTCTAGTGTGAGGCATCTCTGCCCATGCCAGGGGGTTGGAACTGGATGGTCTTAAGGTCCTTTCCAACCCTAACCAATCTGTGATACTTTTCCCCCCACCACAGAACATTACCTGTCACCATGTTATTTGTTGGGTACTCATGCAGGGCACGGTGTGGACATTCCCCCTCAGGTGCTGTGGGGTCTGTTTCTTCTTCGCTGCTGTATCAAGGGGGGGGAAAAATCTGGTGTGTTCTTTGGGGCCCTCTTGAGATTTGGGGGAGGGAGCCCCAAATCCAACCACCGAGGGCAGGAAAATACCTTTGCGTCGGGTCTAGCATGTGCTCATCCTCTTCCTCCTCCCCGCCTGTTCCCGCTGTCTCAGGTCTGTCCGTCAGATTCCTGTTGCGCTGCGAGCATCGACGCAGGATGGAGTTAAAGCTGTGCTGGGACTCGGGCAGAGCAGCAGCCCCACAGGCCCCCCACAAGGGGGTTAGGACTCGTGATCTCATAATGTAGAATAGTTTTAAAACTAAACACATTTTTGCGTCAAAAGGACTGAGGAGCTGCTCTGAGAGAGAGCGGCAGCACCTCGGAGCTACACGGGGAAGGGAAATGCCACACGAAGGGCTGAGCTCAGACCTCTGCCATCAGCATTCCCAGAAAGATGTGTTGGGCATCTCTGGATGAGGGAGAAAACCCTCCTGCACATCCCACACTCGATCTTGGTGCTGGGATGTCACATTGGGACGGACACACTTGCCGCAGGAAGCACAGGATTTGATCCCGTGTTTGCGCTGAGGGGCTGGGGTGAAAACCAGGCTCCCTGAAGCTCATACACCCACCGGTTTATTCAAGCTACACCTGCAGTAGCAGTTTCTCATCTTACCTGTTCTGCCAGTGACCCGTCCGCCTGCTCCCAGATAAAACAACCAATCTGCCTTCTGATTTCTGCGTGAATGAAAAGATAAATGACGGCGAGAGCATCAGTGAGGCCGGGGAGGTGGCTGCTGCCTGGGCAAGCCCCGGCCTCTCGCAGGCACTGGCAAAGGCACTCAGGAGCCCAGGCAGGAGCTCACTGCACAGCGCCGCAACAGAACAGCTCGCTGGCTGCATGGAGAGCACTGAAGAGTGGTGTCCCTCAGGGAGCCGTACTGGGACCAGTCGGTGACATGGACAGGAAGACTGAGCAACCCCAGCACGTTTGTGATGGCACCAAGCTGTGCAGTGCAGTCAACACGCTGGAGAAAAGGGATGGGACTTGGACAGGGTGGAGAGGTGGGACCATGTGAACCTCATGGAGTTCAGTCAGGCCAAGTGCAAGGTCCTGCCCCTGGCTCAGAGCAATCCCAAACACAAGCACAGGCTGGGAGAGACTGGATGGAGCAGCCTGAGGAGAAGGACTTGGGGGTGTTGGGTAATGAGAAGCACCCCATGACCCAGCTTCAGTGTGTGCTTGAGCCCAGAACCCACCCCCCCATGTGCTGGGCTGCACCCTCAGAGCATGAGCAGCAGCTCTCTGAAGAGGAGACCTTAGAGCAGCTCCAGTGCCTAAAGGGGCCTCAGGAAACCTGGAGAGGGGCTTGGGACAAGGGCCTGTAGGGACAAGCCAAGGGGAATGGCTTGAACCTGCCAGAGGGGAGACTGAGCTGAGCTCTTAGGCAGAAGCTCTTCCCTGTGAGGGTGCTGAGGCGCTGGCACAGGGTGCCCAGAGAAGCTGTGGCTGCCCCATCCCTGGCAGTGCTCAAGGCCAGGTTGGACACAGGGGCTTGGAGTAAGCTGCTCCAGTGGAAGGGGTCCCTGCCTGTGGCAGGGGTTGGAGCTGGATGAGCTTTAAGCTCCCTTCAACCCAAACCAGTCTGGGATTCTGTGATTAATAGACTGAGTGTCCTCTGCCTCTGCGGAGGAACAGTCACTCCCAGCAGAAGGAAATTCCCTCCATCTACAGCAGGAGTAACTGGAGTTCCTGTTTTAACACCACCAGAAGATTGTGCTTATGGGGGAACCCCCAGGGGAGCAAAATCCTGATGTTTCCCCCCCAACCTTCTTGCAGGCAAGCAGGTGGCAGGACAAAGTGGCCCAGAGCCACTGACATCTTCTCTTCTGCACTGCTGTTGGCCCATGCAGAGAGGTAAGAGGAGTGGAACACCGTGGCTCTGCCCTCCAGGTAACTGAGGCTCTCATGTATTCTGGAAGAGAAAAAGACAGCTGGTGTCCAAAGGGAAACCTGGGAGAAGACCCAAAACCACACTCAGAACCCCCAAAAGTTTAAGGGGAACATTGTCATTACAACTGACACAACAGCACCTCATGTTCTGTAAGTTTCTAACTGAGACAACACGATCCTGGCTGCCACCACCTCATGAGAACAGCCTGGAGGAAGGGTACTGGGGAGCAGGTAAAACCATCTTGTATGTGGGACTCCCTGGCACCATTCTGCACTCAACATGAGGCTGGTTCTTTGGGGAGGGGGGAAACGTGGGTTTTCTTTATTCATTCTTGACCCTGCTGCAGTCCCCAAGGAGCAGCAGCCGGCAGCTGTGTGGAGAGGTGAGGGTGAAGGATGCGTAAGCACTCACTGTCCTCCGTAGCACTGAATTAAATACTGTTTGCTGGGTTTAAGGGTATGGACAATGATACACTTTTTTTCCAAGAAATAATCATAGAATCATAGAATGGTTTGGGTTGGAAAGGACGTTAAGATCATCAAGTTCCAACCCCCTGCCATGGGCAGGGACACCTCACACTAAACTATGGCACCCAAAGCTCTGTCCAACCTGGCCTTGAACACTGGCAGGGATGGAGCATTTGCAACCTCCCTGGGCAACCCATTCCAGTGCCTCACCACCCTAACAGGAAAGAACTTCTTGCGTATACCCAATCTAAACTTCCCCTGTTTAAGTTTTAACCCATTACCCCTTGTCCTCTCACTACAGTCCCTAGTGAAGAGTCCCTCTCCAGCATTCTTATAGCCCCTTTCAGATACTGGAAGGCTGCTATGAGGTCTCCACGCAGCCTTCTCTTCTCCAGGCTGAACAGCCCCAACTTTCTCAGCCGATCTTCATATGGGAGGTGCTCCAGTCCCTGATCATCCTCGTGGCCTCCTCCGGACTTGTTCCAACAGATCCATGTCCTTTTTATGCTGAGGACACCAGAACTGCACACAATACTCCAGGTGAGGTCTCACGAGAGCAGAGTAGAGGGGCAGGATCACCTCCTTCGACCTGCTGGTCACGCTCCTTTTGATGCAGCCCAGGATACGGTTGGCTTCTGGGCTGCAAGCGCACACTGAAGCCGGCTCATGTTCATTTTCTCATCGACCAGCACCCCCAAGTCCTTCTCCTTGGGCTGCTCTGAATCTCTTCTCTGCCCAGCCTGTAGCTGTGTCTGGGATTGCTCCGACCCAGGTGTAGGACCTTGCACTTGGCATGGTTAAACTTCATGAGGTTGGCATCAGCCCACCTCACAAGCGTGTCAAGGTCCCTCTGGATGGCATTCCTTCCCTCCAGCGGATCAACCGAACCACACAGCTTGGTGTCATCGGCAAACTTGCTGAGGGCGCACTCAATCCCACTGTCCATGTCAGCGACTAAGATGTTGAACAAGACCGGTCCCAACACCGATCCCTGAGGGACACCACTCGTTACTGGTCTCCAGCTGGACATTGAGCCATTGACCACAACTCTTTGTGTGCGGCCATCCAGCCAGTTCTTTATCCACCGAGTGGTCCATTCATCAAATTGATGTCTCTCCAATTTAGAGACAAGGATGTCGTGTGGGACAGTGTTGAACGCTTTGCACAAGTCCAGGTAGATGACATCAACTGCTCTACCCCTGTCCATCAGTTCTGTAGCCCCATCATAGAAGGCCACCAAATTGGTCAGGCAGGATTTCCCCTTAGTGAAGCCATGCTGGCTGTCACCAAGCACCTTGTTGTTTTTCATGTGCCTTAGCATGCCTTCCAGGAGAATCTGCTCCAAGATGTTGCCAGGCACAGAGGTGAGACTGACTGGTCTGTAATTCCCTGGGTCATCCATTTTCCCCTTCTTGAAAATAGGGGTTGTATTTCCCTTTTTCCAGTTGTCAGGAACTTCACCTGACTGCCATGATTTTTCAAATACGATGGCCAGCGGCTTAGCAACTTCATTTGCCAGCTCCTTCAGGACCCGCAGATGGATTTCATCAGGACCCATGGACTTGTGTACATTCAGGTTTTTAAGATGGTCTCAAACTAGATCCTCTCCTACAGTGGGCCCAAGGTCTTCATTCTCACAGTCCCTGCGTCTGCCTTCCAAGACTTGGGTGGTGCGGTCAGAGTCTTTGCCAGTGAAGACCGAGGCAAAGAAGCCACTGAGACCCTCAGCCTTCTCCAAATCTGGGGTAGCCAGATCTCCTAGGGCCCATGTTGTCCCTAGTCTGTCTTTTATTCGCAATGTTACTATAGAATCCCTTCCTGTTATCTTTCAAATCCCTAGCCAGGTTTAATTCTAACTGTGCCTCAGCTTTCCTAATCTGGTCCCTAGCTTCCCGGACAACATCCCTGTACTCTTCCCAGGCCGCCTGTCCTTGCTTCCACCTTTTATAAGCCTCTTTTTTCCCTCTAAATTTCCTCAGCAGCTCCTTATCCATGCAAGGTCTCCTGGCCCTCCTGCTGCACTTCCTTCTAGTTGGGATGCAACACTCCTGAGCTTGGAGCAGGTGATCCTTGAAGACCAACCAAGAGTCTTGGCCCCCCCTGCCCTCTAGGGCTATATCCCATGGAACCGTACTAAGCAGGCTCCTGAAGAGGCCAAAGTCTGCTCTCTTGAAGCCCAGGGCAGTGAGCTTGCTGCACGCTCTTCTCACTGTCCTGAGGATCTCAAATTCAACCATCTCACGGTCGCTGCATCCAAGGCTGCCCTGGAGCATCACATTTCCAACCCTAACCCTGTTGGTGAGCAGGAGGTCAAGCATGGCACCTCTCCTTGTCGGCTCCTCTATTACTTGCAGAAGGAAGTTGTCTTCCACACAATCGAGGAACCTCCTGGATTGCTTGTGCTGGGCTGTACCATCATTCCAACAGATGTCAGGGTGGCTGAAGTCCCCCCCATGAGAACGAGGGCCTGTGAGCGTGAGGCTGCTCCTATTTGTCTGTAGAGTGCTTCATCCAGATTCCTCTTGATCAGGCGGTCTGTAGCAGATCCCCACAGTAATGTCTCACATCGCTGTTCTCCCTTTAACCCTGACCCACAAACTCTCTGTTAACTGCTCACCTGTCCCCAGACAGTTCCATACTCTCCAGCCTATCCCTAACATAAAGAGCAACTCCTCTTCCCCACCTGCCAGGCCTGTCTTTTCTAAAGAGCCTGTAACCTTCCATTCCAACACTCCAGTCATAGGAGCCATCCCACCATGTTTCTGTGATGCCTATAAATACATTGAATATATATATATATATAATATATATGTAATTATATGTAAATTCTTGTGGTTGAACAACCCAGTCCAGCAAGATGTTGTGCCAGAAGAAAGGTCTTTGCTCGGGGTTTCTTGTGATTCCCTTTCTGCAGCTGGAATGGTTGGCTGAGGATTACAGAAATCTAAGACGGGTTTAAGCAATTTAAAGCAGTTAAAGGAAGCTGCTTTGTCCAGCCTAGCGAAGTCTGCTGCAGAGAACTGCAAGAAAACATTGCAGCTCCCTTCCACATAAATATATTTACATGATATTCAATATATATAAAGATTCATCAGGGACAGTAGTGATAGGACAAGAAGTGATGGGTTCAAACTGAAACAGGGGAAGTTCAGGTTGGAGATAAGGAAGAAGTTATTCCCTGTGAGGGTGCTGAGGCGCTGGCACAGGGTGCCCAGAGAAGCTGTGGCTGCCCCATCCCTGGCAGTGCTCAAGGCCAGGTTGGACACAGGGGCTTGGAGCAAGCTGCTCCAGTGGAAGGGATCCCTGCCCATGGCAGGGGTTGGAGCTGGAGGAGCTTTAAGGTCCCTTCAACCCAAACCAGTCTGGGATTGTGATTCACCAGCTGGAGGAAGACCCTGAGAAGCCTTTCCTTGTACTTGTGCAAATGTTCTTGAGCTCTCTCATTCTTTTATATTAAGCAGATCATCCATTTTCCCTCCACGTTTACCTCCATGCTTTGCTTTCAGAGTCAACTCTGACACTTTTCAGCTTCCTTCCTTGGGGATGGTGTCACCTCTGTTTTAGACCCCAGCTTTTCCAGTAGATGAACTCAAAGGTAGTGACAAAACCAGCACCATCAGCTTAATTCACTCGGCATCAAGCCAGCCTGACACGTGGATGGGTTTTGCTGTTGTTTTGGGGTTTCTGTGGCTCCAGTTTAGTATGGGGGTGAGTTTTCAGACCCTGTTAAGCAGCAGAACCCTGCTGATCCGTACCAGGTGCTTTAAAATCACCACCCTGGCTTTTACAGGATCACAGAATATGTGTTAAAGGATCAAGGAATCATACAATCAATGAGGCTGGAAAGGGTCTTTAGGATCATCAAGTCCAACCTGCCAAGGCCACCACTAAACCAAGGATGTCACCATCCATTAAACCCATTGAACCTGGAGTATCCACCTCCATTGACCTGCTCCACATGGACATCGCATGCAGAGGGTCCATGGGGCCGCAGGCAGGTCCTGAGCTGGCACAGGGGTGACAGGGGGGGCACGCAGCTCACCTGCGGGTGTCCGGGTGCGCGGCGTCGCTGCTGAACAGGTACTCAGCATCCTGCCAGCGGGTGTACTCCCCACCACCGGCCGCTGCGGAGGGGAGCACAGAGCAGGGCACTGGGCAGGGGAGCACAGAGCAAGGCACTGGGCAGGGGAGCACAGAGCAGGGGCTGGGCAGGGGAGCACAGAGCAGGGCACTGGGCAGGGGAGCACAGAGCTGGGCACTGGGCAGGGGAGCACAGAGCTGGGCACTGGGCAGGGGAGCACAGAGCAGGGCACTGGGCAGGGGAGCACAGAGCAGGGCACTGGGCAGGGGAGCACAGAGCAGGCGCTGGGCAGGGGAGCACAGAGCAGGCGCTGGGCAGGGGAGCACAGAGCAGAGCACTGGGCAGGGGAGCACAGAGCAGAGCACTGGGCAGGGGAGCACAGAGCAGGGCACTGGGCAGGGGAGCACAGAGCAGGGCGCTGGGCAGGGGAGCACAGAGCAGGGCACTGGGCAGGGGAGCACAGAGCAGGGCGCTGGGCAGGGAGCACAGAGCAGGGCGCTGGGCAGGGGAGCACAGAGCAGGGGCTGGGCAGGGGAGCACAGAGCAGGGCGCTGGGCAGGGGAGCACAGAGCAGGCGCTGGGCAGGGGAGCACAGAGCAGGGCACTGGGCAGGGGAGCACAGAGCAGGGCGCTGGGCAGGGGAGCACAGAGCAGGGCGCTGGGCAGGGGAGCACAGAGCAGGGCACTGGGCAGGGGAGCACAGAGCAGGGCGCTGGGCAGGGGAGCACAGAGCAGGGCACTGGGCAGGGGAGCACAGAGCAGGGCGCTGGGCAGGGGAGCACAGAGCAGGGCACTGGGCAGGGGAGCACAGAGCAGGCGCTGGGCAGGGGAGCACAGAGCAGGGCGCTGGGCAGGGGAGCACAGAGCAGGGCGCTGGGCAGGGGAGCACAGAGCTGGGCACTGGGCAGGGGAGCACAGAGCAGGGCGCTGGGCAGGGGAGCACAGAGCTGGGCACTGGGCAGGGGAGCACAGAGCAGGGCGCTGGGCAGGGGAGCACAGAGCAGGCGCTGGGCAGGGGAGCACAGAGCAGGGCACTGGGCAGGGGAGCACAGAGCTGGGCACTGGGCAGGGGAGCACAGAGCAGGGCACTGGGCACCCAGCACGGCCCAGCTCTGCTGGCACAGGCTGGGGATTGCAGAACTGGGCCCGCAGTGTGATGTTTGCTCCCCCCCCCATGGCTCTGGGTGTCCCACTGCTCCACTGAGGACTCTTCTGGGCTTTTCCTCACTATGGAGGCACTGTGGTCTGAGGGGTGCAGGGGCTGTGCCCCATAGTTCTGCCCACTGAGGGGTGCAGGGGCTGTGCCCCATTGCTCTGCCCCACTGAGGGGTGACAGGGCTGTGATGAGGGGTGCAGGGGCTGTGCTCCATTGCTCTGCCCACTGAGGGGTGCAGGGGCTGTGCCCCATTGCTCTGCCCCACTGAGGGGTGACAGGGCTGTGATGAGGGGTGCAGGGGCTGTGCCGCACTGCTCTGCCCGGTGAGGGGGCTGTGATGAGGGGTGCAGGGGCTGTGCCCCACTGCTCTGCCCACTGAGGGGTGCAGGGGCTGTGCCCCATTGCTCTGCCCCACTGAGGGGTGACAGGGCTGTGATGAGGGGTGCAGGGGCTGTGCCCCATTGCTCTGCCCCACTGAGGGGTGACAGGGCTGTGATGAGGGGTGCAGGGGCTGTGCCCCATTGCTCTGCCCCACCAAGGCTGTGTCAGCTCCCCCCCGGGCCCTCACCCCACAGCTCCCGCTGGCCGGGGCTGACGCTCTGCGAGAACCAAGCGCTGCGGCCCCGGAACATGGCGGCGGCGGACGGAGCCCTGAGGGGCGGGGACGAGAACCCGCGGGACGGGCGCGGAAGGAAGCCCCCGGTGCGGCCCCCCCGGTGCCGGTCAGCGGGAAGTGGAGCCCTGCGGGTTCTGACTCTTCCTGCGGGCTCCCCGTGCGCCGTCGGTGATCCAGCTGCAACCCCTGCACGGGCAGGGACCCCTTCCACTGGAGCAGCTTGCTCCAAGCCCCTGTGTCCAACCTGACCTTGAACACTGCCAGGGATGGGGCAGCCACAGCTTCTCTGGGCACCCTGTGCCAGCGCCTCAGCACCCTCACAGGGAAGAGCTTCTGCCTAAGAGCTCAGCTCAGTCTCCCCTCGGGCAGGTTCAAGCCATTCCCCTTGGCCTGTCCCTACAGGCCCTTGTCCCAAGCCCCTCTCCAGGTTTCCTGCAGCCCCTTTAGGCACTGGAGCTGCTCTAAGGTCTCCCCTTCAGGAGCCTTCTCTTCTCCAGGCTGCCCCAGCCCAGCTCTCTCAGCCTGGCTCCAGAGCAGAGCTGCTCCAGCCCTCGCAGCATCTCCATGGCCTCCTCTGGCCTCGCTCCAACAGCTCCAGGTCCCTCTTGTGCTGCGGCCCCAGAGCTGGATCAGGGCTGCAGGGGGGGGTCTCCCCAGAGCACAGCAGAGGGGCAGGATCCCCTCCCTGAGCTGCTGCTCACACTCTGGGGTGCAGCCCATGCCCTCTGTATGCAAAGGGAGGCAGTGAGGCGTCTCCCTGCCCAGACCCATGTCCTGCCTTGCCGCCAGAGCTGCCCTCCAAGACCCCATCCCCTCAGCCCCGTGCTGCAGTGGCAGGGGCCGCTGTGCTGAGCAGTTCAGCACCTCCAGACCTGGTGTCCCTGAGGGCTCACGGCTGGGCACCGCCACGCTCTGGGCCCCTCCATGTTCGTATTTTCCACACCCAGGAGGTTCGCTCACGCACACACAAGCAAAGCTGAGCTGTGGGGGTTGGAATGTATCGAAACTGTCAGAGACCATGGGAAGGAGGAACTACAGCAGGCAATGGAGAGTGACCAGCCCCTGACTGGTACTTGGAAGATGTCAGAACTGGCAAGGAACAAGGACGTCAGAACTGGAAGGGTGTTGGTAAGGAAATCAGGTAGACCTTTCACCTGATGTAACCACACGGCAAACGCAGGTGTGCTTGGCTAATTGCTTGGAAGCATATAAATATCGTGTAATCTTCACAATAAAGGATCCAGCTTGCACTCTGCCTCTGGGTCCGTGCCTGCGTCCTCACACTGAGTGTGCCCTAGGAGGCCCTGGGTGTCGGCAGAGCTGAGCACAGAGCCCCTGCTCTTTGGTTCCTGCCTGATACAGGGAAATAAAGGGTTAACATTGTGCCTGCTTGCTTAAGGAGTCGCTGTGCTTGGTGAAGCAGAACCGTAGGAGTCAAAGTTGCTAGAATGGTGAAGAAGAATTGTAGGAGTTACAGCTGCCAGGCAGAATTGCAGCAGGTAAGATTCATAGCTTAATATTTAAGACATTCTTGTTCAAATAGTATCTTTAGAAAGAAAAGGAACAAAAGACAGCCAAAGTAACAAAATTTACAACCTTGACAAGTTTCTGCTTTAAGATACATAAACCCGGCTTGTACCGACCCTGAGGTTTGGACAGGAGCTGAAACCCCATTGCGTCTGCGTGAAAGCAAGAGGTTACTCACGGTGATGAAGAGGAACGACAGGCCTTCATCCTCACGACCCCCTAATGACCACCACCAGGAGGCACTGTGCGGGAGCATCAATGGGACCAATGCTGGAAAACTAATTCTAATCCTAGACCGGAATAGGTTTTGCATATGTATTAGGTGTGAAGCAATCTCTTGTTTAGGTAATCATTATATGGAATATAAAGGAACTGAGTGGCAAAGGGGGGTGTGCATGCTTTTGGAGGAGCAACCCCCATGCGCCTCAGCGCTGAATAAAGCATACCTACTTTACAGCTCTAATGAGTTGTGGAGTCAATCTGCGTATCACTGCTGATTGGTAATGCAGTTTTTACACAAACTGAAGGATTATTTCAGCTTGCGCGTGCCTTCCCGTGCACGAAGGACTTGGCAATGCTGGCAAATGGAAGGGGAAAAGGTAAGAAGTGTTAGGCCACGTTTAACTGCTCTGTGGTGCTGGGAGCCTTGACTGGATGTGTCCTGGCTCTTCTCCTGGAGGACATCTGTGCTTCAGTTGTGTCTTGAATGACTTTCCCCTCCTTTTGCACCCATCCCGTCAGGTTTTGTCCCTTCCACACAGGAACTGGTGAAGTGTAAAAACCCGGGAGACGTGACACTGAAGAAATCGGCCTTCCAAAAACTTCCCCTAGAAGTTGTTCTCTTTGTGCTTGGTTTACTCAGAAATAGTTTCCTTGCAGTAAAATTGTTTTCACCTCATAAAGCACAAATGAGGCTTGTTTTGTCCTTCAAACCCGATCCCTCAGCAGCTCCACCCCCAGGCAACGCTCACTAAAAGCCAGCAGCAGCACAGCTGCACCCCATGCACCCCCCGGGCTGCACCCAAGGGTGCCTGATAGAACAGGGGAGGTTTTAGCTGTGGTCCTGCAATGCCGATGTTAATGCGTACGAGCCAGCCATTGGTTTGCCCTGCGCTGCTCTCCTGCAGAAGGGGCATTTCTGGTTAAACCATCAAAATATTTCCTAAGTAAGCCCAGAAAAACCCCACAGATGCAATCAGGGCAGAGACTTCCCTATCGGCATGATGCACCCAGTTGTTACTCCCTGGTGCTCTTGAGTAAAGGTGAAGCTGAGGCAGTTGTAGGCATTTTGTGGCTCCTCACAGAATCGGCTGGGTTGGAAAAGGCCTTTAAGATCACCAAGTCCAACTTTTACCCCAGGACTGCCAAGTCCACCACTGACCCATGGCACTGAGGGCCTCGTCTACATGGGTTTTGAACAGAGGAGGCCAGGCCATGGTCCACAGCTCAGGCCGCTTCAGGCTCTCACAGCAGGCAGTGCTGCTCTGCTGGGGTCCATAGAGGAAAAGGCTAAACCTCTTCATCCTTCCAAGACCATCCTCTACCACAGAGAGAGCAGTGTTGGGGCTGCTGCAGTCCCTGGCTGGTGTCACAGGCTGAGCTGTGTGGTGGCTCCAGTGAGTCCTGCTGCCCTGTGTTGGGTGATGAGGCTTTTGCATGAACCCTCCTCCAATGAGCACAAAAGGATCAGTCCCCATACACACCCCAGCAACCTCCAAATGAAACCGCAACACTTTGGATTTTCCCAGTCTTTAATAGAACTGTGGTTATAATGGCAAAAGCTGCAAAACAAGCCTAAATCTCAAGTGCATTACACCACCAGCCAAAGCAAACCTTAATATACCCAAGAAGAGACGTGCTAAATCACACCCACTGGGTTGCCAGGAGTCCTTGTTCACATACATGAGATCTACACTGATGAGATCCTCTTTGATCCAATGCTCATCCAGCAATCCTATTCATTTCTCCATAGAACAAGAGCAGTCTGATGAACATTACAAAGTAGCATCATTTTGGACTACTACCATCAAACCCTCACAGTACAGCAGAAACCCGTCCCCAACAGGACTTCTCCATGGGGTCAACCGCTCATGGAAGAGAAAAACAGAAGTGAAAGTCACTGACACACACGTTGCCTTCCCTCAGCCCAGCTTTACAGCACACACTCCCAAGAGGCACCAGCTGGAGCTCTCCCCCTTGAAGTGGGCACCACATCCTGCCCATCCCTCCTTTTCCTCTCACACAGCTTTAAGACCAGACCCAGTGTCCCCAGGGTTACTTTTTCCCTTTTATCTTTAGCTTGATGCCTTCCCTTCAGAGCCACACAGGAGGCTGTGCCCAGCCAGATCCCACATAAAATGTTCATTCTTCTTTCTTTTTCAAGAGACCCTACTGAAGTCATCCAATTTTATTGAGATAAAAATCCTGTGCAACTCAGAGCACTGAAGAACTTGGACCGATTTTTAATCAGTAATACATACTGTTATAGCTCTGTGCTCAAAAAGCAGGCCTATCGCCTATAGTGCTTCGGGTAAATGACATTATAAGCTTTATTAAAAGAAAACTCTTCTGCAATGAAGTTGATAGCTGCTTTCCATCAGATGCACAAGTGAGATGTGCAGAAAGGACAGAAGTTCCGAGAAGATCTGGACTTGCAATGCGGAACTTTTCAGACCTGCATGGGGGAGGTTGACATCAGTCACTCTGTTCACACCTTCACTGAATTATTTCAGGAGAACATAAGAGCGTTTTCCACAGGGGAACTCCAACTGCAGAGTCCCAGTTGCAGGTAAGCAGATTCCCACTGTCCAGTTTTATTTAGCTACAAATCTGGCAGGAACTGTTTTTCCCCTCCCCTCCTTGGTGGGGGTTCAGAGTTCAACAGGCAACCCTCTACCAAGATGATCCCTGCTCTCCCCACCAAGCACCAGCTGCATGGATATTCTCTCTTTATCAGCTCCCAACAACTCCACACCAGCTCAGTAAGTCCCCATACTCTAGCCAAGTCATCAGTGTCCCACCTCCAACCAAGCTTGGCAACCTTCACCATTGGTGACCCTCAAGCCAGCATCCCACTAAAGCTGCTGATCTCCTGAGCCTTTCCTCAATATCCCACAATATTTGCCTTTCTGCTGTAAATTAAAAGCTTATCTTCTTCTGTTGTCCCCCGCTAGAAAGATGGTCAACTCACCTTAATTTTCTCCCTGAAAGCCTGACACCCCTCCAGCCTTTGGTGCTTTACAGCAAGGAAGGACTGGAGAGCTTTAAAGGGGCATCAAGACTCTGGTCCATCTACATCTTCCCAAGAAGAAATGTCCAAGGCATTTATAAAACTAATTTGACTCATGATTCCATCTCAGCCTAAAAGCTCATCAGTAACATCTTCTGGTAGCAAGTTAGGGCATTTCACAGAGGTCTTGCCAAGGCTTCTCTGGGCACAGTCAGTAATTACCTAGCCTCTATCAGGGTACATAACTAGGGCATTCCAACCAGCATTGCAGCCACATCAACTAGGCAACAAAGCTTTAGTTTCCCTTCCTCTATCAAGGGTGAAACTATTATTTACCAGGCTGCTAAATTCAGATTAGTTATAGCCATGCAGTTTGAAGCACCTGGAGCCCTCAGGCACAGCAGTGAATAAAACCAAGACTGCTCCTGGTTTGGCAGCAAGGCACTGACTTGTGCCTCATCAATCCCACGTTACCAAGCTGACATGCTGCCTGCCACAGGGGGAACCAGCCCGCCTTTCCCCAAGCTACGGGGATTTCCAAGTATCATAGAATCACAGAATGGTTTGGGTTGGAAAGGACCTTAAAATCATGTAGCTCAAACCCCCTGATATGGGCAGGGACACCTCACACTACCTCTGTCCAACCTGGCTTGGAACACTCAACTTCCTCCTCACCAGACAGAGGAGAGCATGGCAGGGTGTGGGAAGCACAAGAGGACATGCAACAACTGTCCAAACAGTATCTGGCACACACCAAAAAGACATGGGGAAGTTTTGCTCCATTGGGATTCCTTTCTTTTGGGCCAAGGACACTCTTATAGACAAAGCATGGCTGAGAACTGGCCAAAACAGCAGGTAGAAAGGGTGTGGGAACAACCCCCCTCCCAGTCAGCAGCAACATGATATATATTATGGTTTTGGGGAGTGATTGCTTTCCTTCCTCAACCCTGCAAGCTACACACTGCCCCCTGTAGAAAGGGGCGTGTGTTCCCCTTATCAGCACAGCACAGATCATCAGTGCAACTCACCGCAGTTATTCCAGGCATAGCTTAGAAGTCTGCATCTGCAAGAAAGAAGGGCAGAGCATTAGGCTTTGAGATAGAGCACCCCATGTCCCCTGTCACCACAAGCCCACAGTGCAGAAACCAGAGAGCTGCTGCTTCGTGTCCATGTGCTGTCTGTCAGGCTGGGCCACCACCACCAGTCCCCACTGCTATATCCTTCCTTATAGTCACCAAATATAAAGCCAAACTCACTGCACGACCCACCTTTTTCCAGGCAAGTTCACCCAGAAAGAGATGAGAGTGCTCTGCTAAGAGCTGTTGTACCAAACACCTAGCGATAACACCAAGGCTTCTCCATCTGCTACTAAGGAATTCTTCCCTGGGTACGTGTACACCACCCTTTGAGCAGCACAGATGAAAACTAGTTTGTTTTCCGTCAATAGCACAAGACCTTCAATATCCCATTACAGCACCCTGTTCCCCCTGTGGTTATAAATTAACAAGCTCTTGCTCCTTCACACAAACGATGGCAAAGCTTGAGAAGGAAGGCACACCATACCCCACTGGAAATCCTGCGGCTCCTTGAAGGTAGAATGGGCCACCCTGCAAACGTAGATGTCACCCTTCTGGGGGGTGAAAGGCGCGTATGCCAGGCGCTGGAAGTGCCACTTGTCATCGAAGGACAAGTCTGTGTACTTCACGTTGTTCATGGGCTCCCCATTCTTGAGGAGGGAGATCTCAATCTTCGGAGGGTGGAAACCGCTCACAAAGCAGTTGAGGGTGTTTTCCTTTCCCATAGTGACAAAATTGCGGGAGTACACATCCACTTTTGGTGCCTCTGGAGAGGAGAGAAAGGGGGCAGTGAAAAGCAGGACTGCAGCAGGGACCATCAAGGAGAACCACAGAGTGGTTTGGGTTGGAAAGGACCTTAAAGGCCACCCAGTCCAACCCCTGCCACAGGCAGGGACCCCTTCCACTGGAGCAGCTTGCTCCAAGCCCCTGTGTCCAACCTGGCCTTGAACACTGCCAGGGATGGGGCAGCCACAGCTTCTCTGGGCACCCTGTGCCAGCGCCTCAGCACCCTCACAGGGAAGAGCTTCTGCCTAAGAGCTCAGCTCAGTCTCCCCTCTGACCGCTTAGAGAAGCTCCTGCCCGCCCGCGGTAACCGGTACCGTGCCCCTCACCCAGCCCCGGGCACTCACCGTCCGCCTCCCCCAGCGCGACCAGGAGCAGGAGCACGATCAGGATCAGGCCCCGCATGGCTCCGGGCAGCCCCATGGGCACCGCTCCGAGCAGCTCCCAGCGCTTCTCGCTCCCCGCCTTTTATAGAGCCGCGGCCCGCGCGTCATCGGTCCCCAGGCAGACCGGCAGCGGAGCGGGTCTGCAAGCGACTGCGCCTGCGCACTGTGGGCATCGCCGCTTTCACTTTCACTTTCACTTTCGTTTGTTCCCAGAAGCACCGCCCGGGGACCTGCCCCTCTCTCGGGGATGAAGGCGTCGAGGATGATGGTGGCACCGAGCCCCAGCCGAGCCCGGGCGTGGAGCTGGGCACCTGCGGTCAGGAGCACCCCCGGGTGCCAGCCAAGGCACCACAAGGGGCTGAAACCACCTTGTGCCGATGTTGCAGCCAGGGCTGGTATCACACCGACAGCCTGCACCGGCACAGCCCGGCCGTCCGCCCTTCTCAACCCGGGTTTGTTCTCTTTGCCTGTGCGGGGGCTGTTGTCCAGCAGCTGCAGGATGACAGATGAACTCTGTCAATCACGACATGGTACCAAACACAAGGGACCCAAAGGGAAAAGAACCGGGTTTTTTGGTGCCTCCCCCAAAAGCCTAGGTACACCTCCAAGCGGCCCTGTAACACTGCTTGGAGGAGAGTAGTAGAGCAACATTAAGAAACTAAGGCCAAAACAGTGAAATGAGCCAGTATTAAATGGCATCTAGGTATTTTATACACCTAGAAGCTTGTCTGCTTGTGGTCCTACGGGTCACAGGTTAGGTTTAGAGTTGCTGTTTCAAAATGGCAAGCAGATCCATCTGGCTTGTCTCCTGCCTTGCTGCATAAGGATTAAAAGTATTAAAAAAAAAATGAAGAGAATGGAAAATCTCTACGAGTGGGGAGAAAACAGCAATATCAGGGTGCTCCCCAAGTTAAATCAATAAAACATGTAGGGAGAACATCCCCCACCCAAAGACAAAAGGTAAATCAGTAAAGACAAAACCTGCAAAGGCTCGTTATCAGTCCTCACCAGACCAGATGAGCTCTTGCTGGGTTTGCTGGCTGCCTGACAAGCAGTGCTGGCAGCCTCACAACTGCCATTGAGTGTTTTCAGTGCAGGATAAGATGATGCAGCTGCCACCAGAGCTTCATCAGGGATCTCGGGGCTCTGGCAGAAATAAGCCCCAGCAGCTGTGTTGGGAGCTGAGCTGAAACTGGGCTCCCTAACACAGACCCACAGGCCAGTCTGATCTGCTCAGGTAGGGGTAATTACACAAGACTGCAGGACATAGATCCTTCCTCTGCACTGACATCCCTTTGAAATGGGAACCCCTGGAGATGCTGGGACCAGCAACACCCAGCATACTTTCCCTGTGAAAAGAAGCTGAACCACCAGTTTCTTCCAACTGATGTTTCTAAAAGGCTGTGCTGGTTTGGTCAGAACAGCCAAATGTTCCTCTTTAAGGCTATTTAGACATAAACAGTTAAGCAGTAGGTAAGGCCTGGCAACCGAGGCGCTCCCAGCAGCACACTGCACTTCTTGGGACACAGATTTACAGCATCTTCACCTTTGTTCTGCTCCCCTCTGCTTTCCAGCCTGCTGCTGTACATCTCCAAGTCACGCCTTCCACCAGACCGGCCTCATCCCTCGGGTTTTGAACGGCCGCAGTGGAAGGAGCCGGCCTGGGCCGTCACCCACCCCGTTAGAGGCCGGTGTTCGCAGTTTACTCCCCGGTTCTGGGGTGGGACCCTCGCCGCACCTCAGCGCGGCGGACCCAGCTGGCAGGGCGGGGATAAGCTGAGGGAGGCGTGGCCTAGTTGAGGGGGCGTGGCGAGGAGAGTGCGCAGGCGCGGGACGCAGGTGGGCGCCGCCATGCTGTACGGCAGGTGCAGGGGCGGGGCCGCTCTGCTCCGTAAAAGGCGGTGGCGGGGGCAGCCCGGCCTCGTAGAGGCATGGCGGAGGGCGGCGAGCCGGTTGTGAGTGCCCGCCCCGCTCCGCCGGGCGCTATGCTCTGTCCCCGGACCGCTTCCCCTCCCGCTCCCTCGGGTCACGGCCCCTCGGGTGCCGCGTCCCCCGGTGCCGGCTCTCCCCGGAGCGGTCGGCGCTGGAGGAGGCGCTGGGGTGGAGGTGCTGGTGGGGTGCCCTGCACTTCCCTTCCCTGTGCTCGGGTGCTGTTCGTGCCCCGGTAGGAGGGTGTTCACTCTGGAGTCTCATGGTGTCCTTCAGCACTAAAGCACTGGTGCTGTTCCATGGCGGCATCCCCTGCGGTGGTGGTGTCACCTCCGGCCAGCAGCAGCCCTGGTCCTGACCGGCTTCAGTGGGCTCCTACCCTGTGCCGAGCCTTCGCTGGTAGTGCAGTGTCTCCCGCTCTTTCCCTGTCCAGCTTCGGGGCTGCTGTGAGCCTTGGGTTCTGCCCGGCCCCACCGGTGGGGTGAGGGGTGAGGTTGGGTGCCTCCCTCTTTGGGAGCACGTGTGGGTACCTGTACCTTAGCGGAGATACTGCTGCTTTCGACTGCAGATCATTGAGGACTACCTGCTGGTGGAAGATGCATCTCTGCTGCAGGAGATGGCTGAGGAGGATGAAGAGCTTGACCTGTACAATGAAATGACTTTTGGGATAGGTAAGATCCCAGGGGTGCCCTAGTGGTAGGGAGACCAGCTAGCACCCAATGAGGTGAGGAAGACAGAGGTGGTGGGGTGAAGAAGGCTCCTGCCTGGTGAGGAGCTGTGCTGGGAGCAGGGACCCTATGGGCACTGCCTCGGCTCTCCCCCACCCTGATGTGCTCTGCTTACTTTCTCCAAGACCGAGACTCTACTGAAGAGGGTGCTTCAAAGCTCCCGATGCCTCCAGAGCTGGCCCAAGCAGTGGCAGAGGAGACCAAGGCAGGGGAGGAACTGGGGCCCGAAGCAACTGAGCAGCTGGAGGAGCTGGAAGAGCCCCAGGAGGAAGGTGGGATGGAGCTGGAGATGGAGCAGGTTGGCTCTGAGCTGGAGGAGGAGGAAGAGCTGGGCACTGAGGATCAGGAGGAAGACCAGGAGCCCAGTGACCTGGGAGACCCAGCGGTGATGACAGCTGTGCAGAGCAAGCCCACGCTGGAGGTGATGCATGAATGGAGAGGGAGGGGACTCACTGCTCCCCTTCCATCCCCACATCTGGGGGTCCTGTGCCACAGGGGTCACTGGGGGTAGCTTGGTCTGTGTCCAAGGGAAGGAATGCACCAGGGCTGAGCACATGACTTCTTTGCTTGCAGAGCCAGGACTCGGCGGTGCTGGACAGCAGGATTGGTGCTTGCTGGGCAGACTTTGGCAAAGAGGATGTGGTAAAAATGTTCCCTCCTATCCTGTGATGAGGCTGCTCCTCTCCTGTGTCCTCCTCCCCTGTGCTGACCATCTCCCTGTCTTCCAGCTGGCCATGGATCCCAAAGTGTGGGGCTCCCACCCTGGCAGTGTCCCCCTTCCCCACGTGCTGGAGGTAGGTACCTTGGGGAGCAGCTGAGGACCCCCGGGCACCCTGGGTTGAGGGTCATTCATGCAATTTGGGGTGATCAGGGGACCTCTCAAGTCTTGTTGTCAGGCTGGAGGTGCACAGACGTGTCTCCTGGGTGCTAAGGCTGTGGGCAGAAGTGACCATCTGAAGCAGAACCTGGGTTCAAGACTAACGGTGTTGAGTTTGGGTGTCCCTGGTGTTGCAGGCTGCCAGGTTTGGAGCCTGGCTGGTGCATGGTCTGGTTCTGGTGAGCTGCCTGATGCTGGGGGTGCTAAACTCATCCCAGCTGCGCCCCGTTCCTACCTCCTGCTGCCTCCTTCCTGCAGGATAAAGCCATTGTCCAGGTCCTGGAGAGGCCCCCACCATCCAGCAGTGTGGCTCTCGACTTCCTTGGCTCCCCAGTGCAGAGGGGCTACGGGGGCTCTCCACAGCTCAAGCGCTCTGATGTAAGGCTGGTGTCCCCCAAGTCCTTCCCACAGCGCTTTCTCCAACAGGTAACGGGTTTGGGGGACTCCTGCACCCCCCTTTCTCTGCCCTCCCCTCCCCAGAAGCACAGCCTTGAGGACAGGCTTGTCCCAGTGAACCCTCCTGTCTCCTGCCCTGCAGCAGTCGCCCCTGGTGTCTCGCTCCCAGCGCTCCCCTCGGCCATTTGTGCCGCCTCGCAGACCCTCTCTGTTCTTCACTTCCAACCAGGTGATGCAGTGGCCTCTGAGCCCCTCTGTGCCCCCTCTGAGGTGGCCCTGGAGCAGCAAGGGGTTGGGGCAGGGTCTCCCAAAGCTCTGCCATCCGCAGTAGGCTTTGCAGCTCCTGGGCACCCATCTCTGGTGTCTTGATAGTTGGGAAGGTGAAGCTGCTGGTGTAGTTATTGCTTCACAAATCTATTTGCCCTGATGTCCCCCCAGGACCCGTATTGGGCATGGTGGTGCACTTGGTGTCATGCTGCAGCACTGGTGATGGACCTGGGGCATGCAATCCCCAGTGACACATGGGTCCCCTCACCTTGCTCACTGTAGTGGTAGGTAGCTTCCTGGCGCGGGTATTACCTTGCCATGGTGCCCCATGCATCCCCTCTGTGCAGGGAGAGGGTGGCCCCTGCATGGTGGCGAGCCAGAAGCCAGCACGGACCCCCCAGACCTCTCCAGGGCCCTTGGAGGAGAAGGCTCAGTCACCTGATCAATTCTCTTTCCCTTTCCAGACCACGGGGTACACATCTGCAGCCCCTTTCCAGCCTATGTCACCCAACTTCAGCCGTCCGCCACGGCCTCTCACCATGCACTTTGGTCCCATGTCTCCCTCTTTGGACCCTGCTCTCTTCTTCAGTCCATCAGCCAGTGGCCAGCTGAACCTCAGGTAATGGGATAGTGTGTGGGGTGCTTGGCCATGACTGCAGGAGCCCCCCAACACAGCTGGGGACGTTCTCCCTTTCTGGGCATAGCTCTGAGGGTGCTGAGCCTCTGACCCCTGGCTGGTCTCCCCTGCAGTGTGCCCAACCGTCTGACCCAGCTGCACCCACAGCACCAGCGCATCCTGACCCAACGGCAGCAGCAGAGGTGAGGGGATCCCTGGGGACCTGGGTGGTGGTGGTGGGGGGCTCTGGGTGGTCACAGCAGGCTGTGGATTTCCCTGTGCTAGCATCTCCTCC